CCCAGTTTAGGCTCGTGACAATAGCTTCTTAATGGTGGTGTCCAAAAATAGTCAATAGCATAGTTTTACATTAGAAAGTTATTTAAGATGTCTCCCAATTGGGGCGGATGGTTTTTTTCATTTATACATAGAAGGGTTCTGGTGGTATCCAATCTTCTTCGTCAGGTAAAGTTGCTCAAAATCATGGTCGAGGGTAATCATCTTTATGAATAAAACGACGACCCCTGTGGGAGAGTCATTCTTTGAGTCCTGTGAGTTGGAGTATTTAATGGTGTAATCGGTGGTATTTATCACTTGTATAGGATGTTCTCTATCTGGCATGTATAGTTCTTGCATTGTATAAAGTTGTTTCTTTTTTAGGGTGTCAAGGCGTACATTTTAATGGCAGTGATATCTTGTTGTGTATGGTAAATCTGCCATTTTTAACTCTCTCTCCTCCTGGTATTGGTAATAAATCGAAGAGCTCTATTCTGGACCCTTTGTATCCGTAGCATGTTGGTCTTTGTTGTTAATGATATTGGGACACAAGGGGGTATTCAAGTATAGGTCTTATTATCATTTTATACAGATGTTTTTTGACATGTTGAGGGGCTTGATTGAATCGAAAGAGTCTGCTAAGACCGGCTTTGGCTGTGTTGATCTTTTTAGTTACATGAGATGTTGAGTGGAGCAGCCTGTCTATTTCATATCCCAAGATCTTGTTAGGGTTTTCTAATGGCTACAGGTGTACCTCTGATGGAGATACCCCCTTTATCTTCAATGGTTGATGCAAAACATCCTATCGTGCTAACAAGGACGTCTATGATTCACGAAATCGTAATGACACGATTGCAAACAAACCATACCACGGGTGGGGATAGAACCCGCGATCAGAGACGGTCTGGAGTTTTGAGACTCTGATCGCGGGTTCTATCCCCGCCCGTGGTATGGTTTGTTTAACAGTCTATGATCTTTTGCGGCCTCAGGAAATTCTCATGACAGGGGGCAAGAAATTTCCTGAGTCCAGCAACAGACAGCTGCCACATTTTTATGTCAGACTTTGATATTTTCTTGATATTATTGAGACTGATTCATCTTTTGTGGACTCTGTCGAACTTGTGTGTCGTTCTGTACTTATGGAGCTAGACTTTTTTCGAGAGCTGCTGGCCAGCAGTAACAGCCTGGTTCATCAGAGCCTGATCCACCATGAGGCCTGGTCTCTGACTGGGCCCCAGGGGCGTTAACCATTAGAACAACCTCCACGTAGGCGATTAATGGCAGACAACGTGCAGAGAGAAGGGCCTGGGAATAACCACTACACGTAATATATCTCAAAACGTGTATATCCAAGGGTAACTTCTGCGCCTTATGTATAACTAGGTAATGTAACAAATGATATCAGGAGCCTAAACAAAGATTAATTTAGAATATTATTCACAACGTACATTAGTTCCATCTTGCAGTATTCAGTACCAGCAAAGAAAGTGGATTAGTCTCAAGTTGAAGTGACACTGACAAATTTTACACATGGATTCAGTAAGAGGTTGATAAACTAACGAGGCTGGGGGGAAATGACCCGATAATGCCCGCTGAACCCGGGCCCGGGGAGCTGAGATTCGACCCTTGCAATAAAAAATGGGAACACATTACCAAAAGTACCGTTGACAAATGGTATCTCTCTCTCTCTCTCTCTCTTTTCTCTTCTCCCCTCTCTCTCTCTCTCTCATTTCTCTCTTTTCAAAACACACACACACACACACCACCCCACAAACAAAACACAC